CCAAAGTATTAATTTATTTAGGGCAACTGACTTTTGGAGATTTAAATTTTTGGGAAACAAAGTTATAATTTGCATATATTAAATTTCATATTTCAATGCTAGTGAAAAAAAGAGAAGCTACAATCGAATTTTAGACAAAAAACACCGGTTAGGTCATGTTGGTTGGTCGTAAACTATTTCAGAAACTTGAGAATTATTTTTAGGCGATTCCTGCGTTTCAGGCAGAAATTGTGCTTGGTCGTAAGTATTATTCACATTATTATAGTGATGTTCCATATTTATTTCCAATTTCCCCTGTTCCGTCATATGTGTAATCTACCAACATGTTTTGTGATAGAATTTTGTCGCCCATGACGTGACTGTAAAAGTCGTCTGTTGCTGACGTCACATTTTCAGACACATGAGCCTGATCGTAGAAATCATTCACACTAGGATTTATCTGACACGATCCACATTTACTTTCCATTCCGATCGTATGGTCATAAGTATCATCCACTAAAATTTGTGCTCCGTTTTGATTGCCTTGTATGCTACTGTACATGTTATCCATGTTATCTGCTGCTGATGAACTGAGTCTGTTCTTCTGATGAAGGTGATCATACTCTGTCTCTGATCTTGTTGTTTCAATAATTTTATTATTTTCCAGAATTCTTTTTCTGCTTTCTGTACCAGAATCCTGAGGTATTTTCGCATACTTCAATTTCTTTTCACTTGCTTCATTCGAAGGAAATGTTTCCAAAACAAATGTTTCATCACTATTATCATACACAACAGCTTCAGCAGTGGGAGAGTTTTGGTGCTTCTTCTTTTTCTGCATCCTACATAAAACATGTGAACTTTGTGTTATATTGTTTCATGGTACGTATAAGTTTTAAGTATAATTTTGATTGAAATCGTTTTCTTTTAGAAAGATCATTTAGAAAGGGAAACAAAATTTACAGAGGTTTAGAAAAAGAATCGAGTACTTATTCAGTACATGTATATGTATATGTAATTTTTACCTTATATAACATACTATCCCAGTGATGACACAAATAATGAAAGTAAACCCACCAGCAACGATGGGAATTACCATTCCTACTAAATTTGATATGTATGATAAATTTTCATCAAGAAAAATGCAAGAAAACATTTGTACAACAGAAGGCAGACAAAACATTTATCTTTGAAAACATTAGAATTGGAATTATAGGTGCCATGGGGGAGTTTCTGATAGGGTCAACTGAAAAATCCGTAGATAATTCAGTGTGATGTGAAAATTAAGATTATATTTACTAACAAAGTCGATACAGCGATTATAGAAGTTACATGTTGACATTGAACGATTTAATATCTTTTGTATCATGACCTTATTTGTCAAAAGTTTGACGCATTTTAGACATTGTTTATAGAAAGATACAATTCTTGGGCTTAAAACAATTGGGAGACAAACCCCAAATGAAGGAAATAATTGTACATTAGTATTTCTAAAAAAAACTAGGAAAACCAATGACGAACTACAAAGGATAAGTTTATTAATATTTTCAGATATAAAGGCAATTTGACGTGCAAAACCGTAATACAACGACACTTTTAGTTACATCAACTTAATACAAGCAAACAAATTTGCGATAAAATTATCACATGTACATGTCTACTTATAACCTCCTTAAACAGGTTTGGTTTATATCACTCATAATAAAAAAAAACTAATATTGCATCATTGAAGTACAGTATGTGATACAGATAAAAAGGAATTTTATTTTCTTTTATATTATTACCTTGCTCTTACCATTATTTATGTCAGTCGTCTCTGTAGCGTGGTTACTAGTCACACGTCTGAACACCACGCAACTATCACTCGATGAATTAAGAACTAATGAAAACAATCAAAGTTGAAAAACTCTTGAAAAACAATAAATTACACACCCAAGGCCCTTTAAAACCTAAAGATATCTTTTTATACATTCTGAATTATTACAGAATACTGTTATATTTTTTTGTTTTGATGGAAGCAAAAAAATGCAACATTTACTATAAGCAATAGAACACCTTTAAAATATGTTTAGACATGTGGTACGAAAAATATACAATAAATATGCAAGGATGGCTTCAAATTTTTTTTAGAAGAGGAGTTATAACCAATAATAAAAAATAAATAAACAAATACAACCCCAGATCCAGAAAAAAGGCATGAATGTTTTGTGTGTGTGTGTGTGTGTGTGTGTGTGTGCGTGTGTGGCTCCCCCATACTGGGGACCTGCTACAGATACGCAAGTCGTAAAATGGGGACATAAAAAACATTGGGGACTTGATTTAAGTCCCCAAACTTTTTTATCGTTGAAAACGAAAAATTGACATGTCTAAATCCTAAAAATATCAAAAAAATAACGTGTCCCAGTTACGGGGTTTTATCGGACACATGATTACACAGATATCGTGTTGATTGAAATTGCCATCTTCACTTACACATCTCTGACGTTACACACTTCTAGATTACGCATGCGCGTGTGTAAAAAAAGCGGAAGTCCAATTGTTTCGAAGCGGGATACAATAAACATGTGGAAAAGAAGACACAGAGGAAAGCCTGGACACAGAATCCTAGATTCTTTTGATAAAGATGATTTTTATGCTGAAAACGGTATGTTATCTACTTCTTGGATAAAATATGGTGCGAGAAACATGCATCAAAGTATTGAAGGGGGGAGGGGGGGCAGTGACGATTGCTGGAATGCGGGTGGTTTCGCTCCGATCCCGTGTTCGCGCCGAGTGGGTTCGCTCCGATTACTTGTTCGCGCCGGGTGGTTTCGCCCCGCGTGGGTTCGCGCCGCTGAACTACTGAAGATACCGCTTATCGGGTAGTCGTTTGATTATCGTTTGATCATTAATGACGAGCAGATTAATTATAAATAATGATGAGAGACAAGTCGTGCGTTTTTCAAATGTATTTCCAAAAACTTCATTCTACCAACAAAAATCACCATGACCAGCTGTCTTCATTGCAGAAAAACGGTAAGTATTTCTTTTTTTAATCCCAAAATTCTCAATATTAGTAGACCTAAAAAGTTTTTTTTTATGTCTTACGTCTTAAATAATTTCTAGTTATGTATTATAATTGTATATTATCTAGGATGCATTATAGTTTTACATATATAAGCTTTGAAGTTTTAAAGAATTTATATCTACAAGAGGAACTTACAATGAAGAATAATATTCCATTTTCTAATTAATGATGTCTGTATTTTAAGATAGTTTACCTTTGAAGTTTTCAGGATGTTCTATATCTTTGTATATATATTTATATATGTTTAAGTTTATTATATTTTATATATATATATATACAAAAATAATTTTTGTTTTTCTTTTTATAATTTTGGCACACATGTATGTATATGTATGTTTTAAAGAATTTATATCTATAAGCGATACTTACAATGAAGAATATTATTCCATTTTCTAATTAATGATGTCTGTATTTAAAGAGGTATATTTTAAATGTAATTGTGTATTCGAATTTAATAAAAAGAAATTGAGTCTTAAGTTAGTTTTTTAATGAGATATACATATGTAGTTGTGTGCCAAAATTTAAGATTGTTATATTTCAAGTTGTTATACTTATATTTAAACTATTTTTTTTTATATTTTAAATTAAATATATATTGATTTATTTAATAACTGTATAATTTAGGCATTGAAACTTCAATAATTATATTTATTTTGAGTTTTAATGAGATATATCACAGTTAAAATATCACAAGAAAACATTTAGAGCATAAATTAACATGCAAAAAACACATGCACATATATACACATTTCATTAGAATAAGTTAAAAAAAAAAATAAACAAATTGAAAAGCAATACGATTGCATTAAGAGGAACAAAAGTAAATATAACGTGCAGGTTATAAATAAATAAATAAGTAAGTAAATGAATTAATAAAAGTTATATGATAAAAATAAAAATTAAGCACTAAGTTTAATCCATAAATTCGGATAAAAAAATAACTAATTGTATTATTAATAATAATTATAATAAATAAATAAATTTGAAAGTTTAGAAAATTAAAAATTCACACAGACATAGCAAATTTGAGAAAGAAGAAGGGGAAAAAATCAAATAAAATAAAAAATAATAATAACATATATATCCTGCCTAGTGATTGGGTCTATCTCTACCTACATAGGCAAGATATGCATTGTTGTGTGGGTAAAGGAAAAAAAAAAAAATAATAATAAAAGAAACACTAGTAAACTATGAAATAAAATGAGTTGGTATCATCAAAGCAAATGAAAGATTTAAAAAATAAATGAAAATTCAGCTGTTTCTAAACTAAGTGAATAAATAACAGATAAATATTTATCATTGTTAACTTTAATTTGGGAAAGATATTATACACAAATAGACACAAATAGAATATATAACATGAGTATTTTGGATAGATATGTTCATCACCTTTGGTTACAATAACATAATGTAAAAACTTTTTGCAATAAAAGCAAATCTAGGATGGACGTTATATAAATGTAATTGATAAAAATATTTTTTTAAAAACATAAATTTTAAAACTTGCCAGTTTGACTGGGATAACTGTTCAAACATTAATAAAACATTCTTAGAAAAAAAAATTAAACTTCCATAGTCTCTTTGAAAAATTAATAAATATATATATGAATATCTGTAAATATAATTGATAGTTTTTTCTGAGTATATATATATAAAAAAAGAATCCAATCCTACAGTTAAATTAATTAATTTTACTTATATTTAGGTACGTGCCAAGCAACACGCCCTGTGTTGTGATGGATGTGAGCGGTGGCAGCATCGCTTGTGCGATACTGGCATTTCTTGCTCATTGTACCTGGCTACAATGCGGGGAGAGGGAATCATTTCCTGGTACTGTCGAGACTGCACCATGCCAACGTTTGTGCCAGGGGAGATTTCTACAGAGGAGAGTACCATTGCTCCACCTCCTCTAGAGTCTACCAGACTAGAGGTATCTTTTTTATTATGTTAAGAGTATTTACATAAAATAACTAATGACGGTAATTAATATAAGATAATAAAATGTATAGAAAGGAAATTAATTAGAATATCAATCAGAACATCATATAATCTTGTTGATATAATGTTATTAAATTATGTTCAACTATTTTAGGCTCCAGTTGCCCCCCACGCTCTTCAGCAAGTGACCACGGACAGCATGGAGGAGTTGATGGAGACAGAGCCAGTTCCAGAGCCTGAGCCAGTCCCAGTCCCAGAGCCTGAGCCAGTCCCAGAGCCTGAGCCAGTCCCAGAGACAGTCCCAGTCCCAGAGCCTGAGCCAGAGTCTGCCATCTACGAACAGGACACCATCATTGATGATGAGGTATAGTTAATGATTACGAAAATAATAAGGATACATCAATAAATTATCACTACATACATAAAAATTTATAATGTGTTAATTTATACATTTATTTAATAAATATACATAATAACTATAAATATGTCTGGTGTAAAAAGAAGAGGAAATAAGTTCTGCATAATTTAATCCAATTAAAAGTTGATGTAATTTAAATTTATTTATATTTAACCATTATAGACAGAGGTACCAGCCCTTGATGCTTCATTTGAGACTGTTATATGTCAATGGTCTCATGCTACAGTAGTGTAAACATGAGACCATCTATGTTTAAGACTGTTATATGTCAATGGTCTCATGCTACAGTATTGTAAACATGAGACCATCTATGTTTCAGACTATTATATGTCAATTGTCTCATGCTACAATGTTGTAAACATGAGACCATGCCTGTTTAAGACTGTTATATGTCAATGGTCTCATACTTCAGTATTGTAAACATGAGACCATCTATGTATAAGACTGTTATATGTCAATGGTCTCATGCTTCAGTATTGTAAACATGAGACCATCTATGTATAAGACTGTTATATGTCAATGGTCTCATGCTTCAGTATTGTAAACATGAGACCATGCCTGTTTAAGACTGTTATATGTCAATGGTCTCATGCTACAGTATTGTAAACATGAGACCATGCCTGTTTATGACTGTTATATGTCAATGGTCTCATGCTACAGTGTTGTAGACATGAGACCATCTATGTTTAAGACTGTTATATGTCAATGGTCTCATGCTACAGTATTGTATACATGAGACCATCTATAATTGTGACTGTAATATGTCAATGGTCTCATGCTCCAATATTGTAAACATGAGACCATCTATGTTTCAGACTGTTATATGTCAATGGTCTCATGCTACAGTGTTGTATACATGAGACCATCTATGATTGTGACTGTAAATATGTCAATGGTCTCATGCTTCAGTATTGTAAACATGAGATGAGACCATGGCCTATGCTGTATTGTAAACATGAGACCACTATGTAAGACTGTTATATGTCAATGATCTCATGCTACAGTGTTGTATACATGAGACCATCTACGTTTGTGACTGTAATATGTCAATGGTCTAATGCTACAGTATTGTAGACATGAGACCATCTATGTTTCAGACTGTTATATGTCAATGTTCTCATGCTACAATGTTGTAAACATGAGACCATGCCTGTTTAAAACTGTTATATGTCAATGGTCTCATGCTACAGTGTTGTATACATGAGACCATTTATGATTGTGACTGTAATATGTCAATGGTCTCATGCTACAGCATTGTAAACATGAGATCATGCCTGTTTAAGACTGTTATATGTCAATGGTCTCATGCTACAGTATTGTAAACATGAGACCATCTATGTATAAGACTGTTATATGTCAATGGTCTCATGGTACAGTATTGTAAACATGAGACCATGCCTGTTTAAGACTGTTATATGTTAATGGTCTCATGGTACAGTATTGTAAAAATGAGACCATGCCTGTTTATGACTGTTATATGTCAATGGTCTCATGCTACAATATTGTATACATGAGACCATGCCTGTTTAAGACTGTTATATGTCAATGGTCTCATGCTACAGTGTTGTAGACATGAGACCATCTATGTTTAAGACATGTTATATGTCAATGGTCTCATGCTACAATGTTGTAAACAAGAGACCATGCCTGTTTAAGACTGTTATATGTCAATGGTCTCATGCTACAGTATTGTAAACATGAGACCATCTATGTTTAAGACTGTTATATGTCAATTGTCTCATGCTACAGTGTTGTAAACATGAGACCATGCCTGTTTAAGACTGTAATATGACAATGGTCTCATACTTCAGTATTGTAAACATGAGACCATCTATGTATAAGACTGTTACATGTCAATGGTCTCATGCTTCAGTATTGTAAACATGAGACCATGCCTGTTTAAGACTGTTATATGTCAATGGTCTCATGCTACAGTATTGTAAACATGAGACCATGCCTGTTTATGACTGTTATATGTCAATGGTCTCATGCTACAGTGTTGTAGACATGAGACCATCTATGTTTAAGACTGTTATATGTCAATGGTCTCATGCTACAGTATTGTATACATGAGACCATCTATGTTTGTGACTGTAATATGTCAATGGTCTCATGCTCCAATATTGTAAACATGAGACCATCTATGTTTCAGACTGTTATATGTCAATGGTCTCATGCTACAGTGTTGTAAACATGAGACCATTTATGTTTTAGACCTATATATGTCAATGGTCTCATGCTACCGTGTTGTATACATGAGACCATCTATGTTTACGACTGTTATATATCAATGGTCTCATGCTACAATGTTGTAAACATGAGACCATCTATGTTTACGACTGTTATATGTTAATGGTCTCATGCTACAATGTTGTAAACATGAGACCATGCCTGTTTAAAACTGTTATATGTCAATGGTCTCATGCTACAGTGTTGTATACATGAGACCATCTATGTTTCAGACTGTTATATGTTAATGGTCTCATGCTACAATGTTGTAAACATGAGACCATGCCTGTTTAAAACTGTTATATGTCAATGGTCTCATGCTACAGTGTTGTATACATGAGACCATCTATGTTTAAGACTGTTATATGGTAATGGTCTCATGCTACAATGTTGTAAATATGAGACCATGCCTGTTCAAGACTGTTATATGTCAATGGTCTCATGCTACAGTGTTGTAGACATGAGTATGTTTCAGACTGTTATATGTCAATGGTCTCATGCTACACTGTTGTAAACATGAGACCATCTATGTTTGTGACTGTAATATGTCAATGGTCTCATGCTACAGTATTGTAAACATGAGACCATGCCTGTTTAAGACTGTTATATGTCAATGGTCTCATGCTATAGTGTTGTAGACATGAGACCATCTATGTTTAAGACTGTTATATGTCAATGGTCTCATGCTACAGTGTTGTATACATGAGACCATTTATGATTGTGACTGTAATATGTCAATGGTCTCATGCTACAGTATTGTAAACATGAGACCATGCCTGTTTAAGACTGTTATATGTCAATGATCTCATGCTACAGTGTTGTATACATGAGACCATCTACGTTTGTGACTGTAATATGTCAATGGTCTCATGCTACAGTAATGTAAACATGAGACCATCTATGTTTCAGACTGTTATATGTCAATGTTCTCATACTACAATGTTGTAAACATGAGACCATGCCTGTTTAAAACTGTTATATGTCAATGGTCTCATGCTACAGTGTTGTATACATGAGACCATCTATGTTTAAGACTGTTATATGTTAATGGTCTCATGCTACAATGTTGTAAATATGAGACCATGCCTGTTTAAGACTGTTATATGTCAATGGTCTCATGCTACAGTATTGTAAACATGAGACCATCTATGTTTCAGACTGTTATATGTCAATGGTCTCATGCTACAATGTTGTAAACATGAGACCATGCCTGTTTAAGACTGTTATATGTCAATGGTCTCATGCTACAGTGTTGTAAACATAAGACCATCTATGTTTGTGACTGTAATTTGTCAATGGTCTCATGCTACAGTATTGTAAACATGAGACCATGCCTGTTAAAGACTGTTATATGTCAATGGTCTCATGCTACAGTGTTGTATACATGAGACCATTTATGATTGTGACTGTAATATGTCAATGATCTCATGCTACAGTGTTGTAAACATGAGACCATCTATGTTTAAGACTGTTATATGTCAATGATCTCATGCTACAGTGTTGTATACATGAGACCATCTACGTTTGTGACTGTAATATGTCAATGGTCTCATGTTACAGTATTGTAAACATGAGACCATCTATGTTTCAGACTGTTATATGTCAATGGTCTCATGCTACAGTGTTGTATACATGAGACCATCTATGTTTGTGACTGTAATATGTCAATGGTCTCATGCTACAGTATTGTAAACATGAGACCATGCCTGTTTAAGACTGTTATATGTCAATGGTCTCATGCTACAGTGTTGTAGACATGAGACCATCTATGTTTAAGACTGTTATATGTCAATGGTCTCATGCTACAGTGTTGTAGACATGAGACCATCTATGTTTGTGACTGTAATATGTCAATGGTCTCATGCTCCAATATTGTAAACATGAGACCATGCCTGTTTAAGACTGTTATAAATCAATGGTCTCATGCTACAGTGTTGTAAACATGAGACCATCTATGTTTAAGACTGATATATGTCTATGGTCTCATGCTACAGTGTTGTAAACATGAGACCATGCCTGTTTTAGACTGTTATATGTTAATGGTCTCATGCTACAGTATAGTAAAAATGAGATCATCTATGTTTAAGACTGTTATATGTCAATGGTCTCATGCTACAGTATTGTAAACATGAGACCATGCCTGTTTATGACTGTTATATGTCAATGGTCTCATGCCACAATGTTGTAATCATGAGACCATCTATGTTTAAGACTGTTATATGTCAATGGTCTCATGCTACAGTGTTGTAAACATGAGACCATGCCTGTTTAAGACTGTTATATGTCAATGGTCTCATGCTATGTAATTGTTATATAGAGACCATGACAAGTATATAGTGTATTGTAGTCCTTGGTCTCTGTATGTAATTGTTATATAGAGACCACGACAAGTATATAGTGTGTTATAGTCCCTGGTCTCTTGTATGTAATTGTTATATAGAGACCGTGACAAGTATATAGTGTATTGTAGTCCCTGGTCTCTTGTATGTAATTGTTATATAGAGACCGTGACAAGTATATAGTGTGTTATAGTCCCTGGTCTCTTGTATGTAGTTGTTATATAGAGACCGTGACAAGTATATAGTGTGTTATAGTCCCTGGTCTCTTGTATGTTATTGTTATATAGAGACCATGACAAGTATATAGTGTATTATAGTCCCTAGTCTCTTGTATGTAGCTGTCATATAGAGACCATGACAAGTATATATAGTCATTTC